GGGGCCCGCGCCGGGCCCGCTCGGCAGTCCAAGACAGCGGGACAGCGACGGCCACCCCGGGAGCACCCCAAGCAGCAGCGCGGAGCTCGGACCGGCCCGCGCCGCCACCTCCGCCGCACGCACACACGCACGCAAAGTAAGGGTAGAGGGAGGTGACGCCACGTCAAGTACTGGCAGCTCCGGGGCGGGAGAAGAGGCGGGGCGAAATGGCGCCGGGTCGTGACGTCACCACGTTGGCCTGGCCGCCGAAGCCACTCCCCTCCATCGTCCCTGCTCGCTGGTGAAATACCCAAGCGGCACAGGCACCTTTGTGCCACCAGGTGGCGCCATCAGCCCTGTGACCGGCGCGTGGGCCCCGCAAGGAAGCCGCGGAACTGGGGGAGGCTCTGACGGGTGGGGTGCCCAGCGAGATTTCACAAGGACCTAAGGGAAATACCTGGGGGCAAAAACCAGGGATCCACACGACTCACTGTACAGCCAATTCTAGGAAACGTGTAGAGCCTGAGGCAACCCACACACCCACTGCCCCTTGGGGCCAGACCCCCTTCCCAAGGGGTCCCTTTTGCTTTTTTGACTCCAGATAGGGGTGGGCAGAACAGACAAGGAGTAGTGCGTTTTCTCTGCGATCCTTTATGACCTCCTCCACCACTGTCTCCTTTGGGCCTTGCCTGTTTACAAGACCTTCTGGCTGCAGAAATTAATGTTATCTAGCCTTTGGGATGGGGCAAATGGGTCGGAGGATAAAGGGTCGGAGTGAAAATGGCCTTTCTGCTCCATCCCTGGCCTCTCCTCAAGCATTAGACTCTGCTGGCTCCCAGCCCAGCCCAGCGCCCAGGACCTTGGCGAGCCATTCATGCGCTTTGCAGAGTCTACCTAGTGTGCTGTCTGCGGTTAAAAGCCCACCTAGTAAAGGTGCCAGAGGCAGTTTGTTTTGCAAGGCTTTGTCCCGCTGCAAAGGCCAAACCTTTGTCACCTAATGTCAACTGAGGAGGCTCGTCCTTTGAGAGTCCTGTGACATGGGCTGGAACTCCAAGTCTTTTTGAAAGTCCAGTGCCCTCCTAGGGATTTCTGAGCCTTACAAGAGGCGTGAGCACACTGGAATTGAGATACCCGTGATTACCTCTGGCTCTAGTTTTCTGTCTCACATTGAAGTTTTATTCGCTAATCTGTGGCTGTTTCTTTCGTTCTTGCGCGTTCAGTATGGGACATTACTTCTCTCCTTTCAACCCCCACCCCCTTCCAAAACAACTGCAAAAATAATGCTGTAACATGTAGCAGAACTCTTAATGAAGGTTTGTGGGCCACGGGAGAGATTACATCAGCCAGAAAACAATTTAAAATCACATTCTGCAATGTTCTGAAAAGGTTTTTTGGCTTTCTGGTCACCCAGAGCTTCTTGCTGGCCATGCCACCCCAGAGTGCTCCCTGCCCCACTGTCCTCTCACCTAGCTACCTCCTCCTTCTCCCTTCCCACCCTCTCCTTCACCCTCCCAACTTGAATGATTCAGGGAAGCTCCATTTGTCTCTGCTGTGCTGAGTAACTCAAGTCTCCCTAATGCTCTTTTCCTAAATCCCTCCCCCCAGAGCCATCCCCCAGCCAGCCTTCTTATATTCAGGAGCCTACCAGTGTTAACTCTTTTAGGACCTAAACAGACATCCCCCACCACACACACGTGTTCAAGGTTGTGAAGAGTGTGACACACTGGCCTCCAGCGCCCCAGAAGTCCTGTCAGAAGAACCCACGGCCCTGCCACCCATACCCCTGAGTCATACGTGTGAAATATGCTGTAGAATGGCCCGGAAGGATGCACACTTCTGTAGAACCTGGTGTTTAGCGACTAGGGTTCTCTCATCTGCCCACGCTTTTGGAACTCCCGAAGTCCTTCTCGGGGGACATTCCAGCAGCAAAAGGGACTGAGGGGTCGGGGTCTAGGCTCTGGCCTAAGGGGGTACTCTGGCACCTTCCTGTTCATCTCCCAGCCCTCTTCGCCTTCTTTGCTTCCTGCGGGTTTGTCCAGATTCTTCAAGTGCAAAGCACAGAGCTGCCGGCTCAAAGAACAGAGGCAGAGCCACTGGGAACAGAGGTGAGAACTCCACATACCTTGACTAGGCAGACATGGGAGTCAGGATAGGTGGTTTCCTGTTGTGTTTTATTTTCTTTTGTGTAGGTGCACCTATCTTTGGGGTTTGCTTTCTAAGACTCGCTTTATCCGCGAGCTTCGTCTCTTAGTCCCCCAGTTCTGCACATGCCTTAGCCTTCAGGCTGATTCCTAGAGCTGAAGTCTCTCTCTGTTTTGTTTTTTTAGGAATTGCATTCTCTTTACTTGATTTTTTACTTTTAAAGATTTATTCATTTGTGCATACAGAACTGGGGTACAGGCCAGAGGTGCAGGGGCGGTGAGAGGATTCACCAGAGACAGTGTGCATCCTCTGACTTCACAGAGGGTATTGTTACCAGAGTGGGGAGCAGAACAGGCCAACTGACAAAGTACACTGCTGAGGGGAGCAGCGGGCGGGTCAGGAGAGGTCTGCCACGCCATGAGGGTCACCTCCGGGGCCAGGGATCGAACTCGTGCTGAGGTGGCTTTAGCTTCTTAGGGCTGCGCTTTAACCTGCTGCGCCACCAGGGAGGGCCTGAAGTTTCTCTTTTATGCCCAAACCAAAGCAGTAGATTTCACTACTGTGGACTCACAGGTCAGGGGTGGATCTCATGGCTCAGTCAGGGGTGGATCTCAGAGGCACCTGTGGCCACCTCCATCTCCCGGTAGGCACGGTGGGTCATCACAGGCCAGCCAGGGCTCCGGCCCCCAAACAGCATGACTCACACAGACGAGACAACCCGGGGCCGGTGTTAGGGAAGAGCAGGGACTTCCAAAGGACAGGCGAACCTGTTGTGTGGTAGGGGCTGTCTCCAGGGGGCCTGGACACTAGTGGGGACCCGCTCTGCAAGACGCAGCCTGAGGGCAGCTAGCTGTGACTTGGGAGATGCTGGCGACACTGGTACCACCCGTGGGCTTGATCTGCTCAATCAGATTCGAAATTCTGCCCACTCCCCAAGCTACTGGGGGCAGCGAGGACTTAGGGAATGAGCAAGAAAGACTTCACGGAGGGCGTTGTTACCTGAGCTGACTCTTGACAAATAAGCAGCTAGGTAGGTAGGGAAGGGTTCCCGGCTGAAGGCATAGCCCAGGGAAATGCAACAGCTTGGCATGTTACACGAGCTGTAAATATTTCAGTGCGGTGGGGCGTAGCGTGCAAAGCAGGGCGGAGTGAGAGCTGCAGCTGGAGCCAGGGCCTACAGCGCCTGGAGAGCTGTGGTGGGAGTGGGCAGCATGGGAGGGCAAGCAGGTCTGGGTGGGGGGCTGCTGAGATAAGGAGGCAGCCGAGAAATGCTGAGGTTGATGTGTCTGTGAAATGCACTGTCCCCCCCCGCCCCCCGACCTAAGTTCTCCCGGGTCGGGTCGGCACCTTTCACACCCACTGCTCCCTGCCTGTCCGGCACCCGACCACAGCACACCCTTGAGCTCCCGAGGGCCAGGACCCGCTGAGCTCTCTGAAATGAAAGGTGCAGAAAGATGGCTGAGTGTAACAGTAGCATGAAGGCAGGTGAACAGCTCCACGCCCTACACCAGCAGCCAGCCCAGCACATCTTCTCTCTGTCCCAGCACTGCCACATGGGTGCCTCTGAGGTGCAGGGTGCCCCTGACTCCCCATTGCACATCTGCCCTGCTGGCCTCGAGGGACAGCCAGGGGCAAGTCCACTTGCCACCCCCAGCTGTCCACTGCCACCCCCAGCTCGGGCGCTCACTGCCTCCCCAGGCATGCCTGTGCCCACTTCCCACTGAGAGATTCTGTCGCCCACTCTGGCCCCTCCCCTGTCCTCTGCAGTTCTGGCCCCTTTGAGAGACAGGCAGTCCACCAAGACAGAGAACAGCTCTTCCTTCTCGGCCCTCTCCCTCACTCGCATTTATTCTTCATTTTACTATTCACTAGCATTTTGGATATAATCCTTCCAGGAAGTAAAAGCTGTGAAGATTAAAAATCCCTTTCCATCTTTCAGAGTTCACTCTCACTCTTATCAGCTTGCAGGAGCTCGTGTTTACATACCTGTGAGAGGCAGACTTATCTTTCTGTCTTCGGCTTTGATCAGATTACAGTATTTCAGAAACACCTCGCCGCGTGCAGACACGGCTCGGGCCTGCCTTTACCAGTGTTCCCCAGTGTTCCATGTATTTCCATCCAAGTTTGCTGAACTGTGTTGCTAGCATGGGGCATTTGAGCGGTTTCCAACTTAGTGCAGTATAAACAGAGTGTGTCGGGCTGGGAATGGCTTTCCAGTAAAACAGACAAGGTTGGGTCACAGCACCAGGTCCAGGAGAGAGGAGGAGAAAACGTAAGCAGTGGGCCACTGTCTTGGCTCTCAGCAGGGCTGGGGGAGTCACCGTGAGCTCTGTGTGTGTGTGTGTGTGCGTGCGCACAATGTGCACAACTCCAGTGGTCACATGGTGAGAGGCTCGTGGTGTGGGGGAAGAGGAGAAAGTCCACCGTGTATCCCGGCAGCCCCAGAGGGCCTCCAACCTTGACTTGGCTACCCACTTGGCTGCTGGGTGGATCCCTGGGCCTTTCTGGGGCTCTGTTTCCGCATCCCGAGCTGGGTGATAGGGCTCCATCTGGGGCTGGTGATGGAGGCTGCCCAACTAAATAATAGTTACAAGCCTGCCAGTATTGTGCAAATGTAGGTTACTCAGCTATGGGTCCAGGCTAAAGTCTGCAGGGGGACTGTGTCATTGTCAACAATTTGAAATCGTCTCTAGGCCCTTCTTCCGAGCTGCTGCAGCAGG